GCCACTGTTTTTTTATTTTGGTGCACTTCTGCTTTTGCACAGTTACGAGCTGTTGGCTTGTCTTGTTGTCTCATGTACATTGGTTTGAACAGCTGCTACGCGGAGGTTAAAATTTGAACAGCTCGCGCAGTCAACTTTTTTTTCTCTTTTATCTCACCTTATTGTTTTGTTTGTTCATTGTCACTTTTTGCCATATTCAGTCACTTGCATATCATTTTTTGATCATGGATCTTCCAATAATCACTATTTTTTACTGTCGCGATTAAGCTCTGGTCGTGTGTGTATGTGTGTAGACACACAACCATAGTTCACTTGACAGTAACTCTGTGTTACTGATGTCCTTTCACTTTGATTTTAGTATTACAGGCCATTTGAGTGTTCTATCGCTCATCAAGGAACGTTTGTCGTTTCTGTTTTTTTTTAATGTCTAATTCTGTTTTTTTTTTTTTGCTGTTTGCAAGTGTTCCATAACTTTCTTCAGATTTTATTTTTTGCTTACTTTTATTGTTCTAACAGTTTGTTTTACGAATGCTTTTAATAAAATGCCATTCGCATAAAGTTACGTCCAGTATGGTTCATGCAACCTGTTTTTAGCCGGTATCGTCTTTTTCTCAAGTATTTTCGTGTTTACTCTACTTTCCAAGTTCAGAGCTGGCCTGGTTTTTCCTAACGAAGAGCTTTGGGATCGAAATTCAACTTCAGAAGATGGTTCCTAATAGAATTCCTGGGTGACAAATGTTAGCTCATAGTATTGCATTCGAGCGACATGCCAGCAAAGGAAAAGCAATAAGAGGAATTAATTAATAGGGGTAGAATTTGATAAGAGACTGATAGAATTAGCTGGAAAGCGAGGAATCACGGAAAAGCGAGTAATTGGACCGGGAAAGATAAATCAAGTTCTAAAAATGCTAGAAAAAATGGCATACTTAAGCGAATTTTTGATGTCCGGGTCGCCGGGAGCGGATGAACCAGATAGAAGTGCTGGGAATCTTGACTGCTTCAAACGCAGACTGGTTTTTGGCAGTTTTGCTTGTCGATGCACAGTTTGCGCTTTGCTTCATGA